AGGGACATGGATGCAGCTGGAAACCATCATTCTCAGCAAACTATCGCAAGAACAGAAAACCAAACACCGCATGTTCTCACTCATAGGTGGGAATTGAGCAATGAGAACACTTGGACACAGGGTGGGGAACATCACACACTGGGGCCTGTTGTGGGGTGGGGGAAGTGGGAAGGGATAGCATTAGGAGATACATCTAACGTGAATAACGTGAAATACATCTAACGTGCAGCACACCAACGTGGCACATGTGTACATATGTAACGAACCTGCACATTGTGCACATGTACCCTACAACTTAAAGTATAATAAAAAAATAATAATAGAAAGAAAAATGTCTGGTATGGGGAATAAATATTGAAACACTCACAAATTTAAAGCCTTCAGAAATTTTTCTCAGCTGACAGAATTTTATTTGTCCAAAGGATGCTGGAAAATATGAGCAGGCTCTCTGATAAAACCAATGAGGTCATAATGACTTTATGCTAATATATGCAGTTCAAGTAGAGAAAGTTTTAATAGCTAGAAAACCATCCAGACTGGTACAGGTAGGGAGACTGGGAGAGTGACAAGAAATGACAAGCCCATTTTTAATTCTTTACTAAAAGTAAGTAAAAATTTATAAATCTTCTGATGCTGTATTTACATAATTGGCCCATAATGTTCATAAGGAATTTTGCTACATCTCTGAGACGGAGGAAATGCAGTCAAACGTTTACTTTCCTTTAACTTACCTTATGTGTTATACGTCTTGACTTTTTCTTTTCGACTTTTTAAAACAGTTACTTTATTATCTTTAAAAATCATTTTCGAATCTATGTTAGAAGATATTTTAGTATTATTTCTGAAAGCAGGCATTATTCATGGTACCTAGCCAGTTTTTAAGAAATAGTAGAATCTTATTAACTATTTTTAATAAACTCACTCATCCAGTAATCATTTATATATCTTATTAGTGTATATAATCATGTACTTTCATATTTGTTAATTTTATTGTCATACTATCATTATCATGAAACATTAAGTGTGAGTGTTTTACACAGAACAGAAACTGAATTAAGTGCTTTCTTCTAAATCATACTGCTGACAAAACTAGGCGAAGAATTTAGGTGTTCTGGTTTTGATTTTACTATTTCTACCAATAGGCTTCTTTTTACATTGAAGTTTTATGGTTTCTATTCTTGCTGCCTAGCTGTTTCCATGTGCTCGAAGTATTTGTCAAGAAAGAGAGAGAAGGAAAAAAAAAAAGAAGAAAAGAGTTGTGATTAATTTCCCCAGTATGTACATACTGGCCTTGACTCTTAGAAATACAAAACAAGATATCAATAATTTTGGTGGCAAAGTCTGGTAGAAGATATGGCTCTCCTAAGAGCAAATTACTTTATTTAATGTCTGCAAACTGCAAAGAAGGTACAGCATCAACATAGTAATTGTTCAGAAACTGGAATTTGGTTACTATGGAGACATTACCTCATAGTTCTAAGAGGCAGTGTTGGCCAGATGCAACAATTGTAGTCATAAAGGTCTCTTTGCAAAGTTACTGCCCTGTCTCTCAAGCTGCTTCCAGTGAACACTACACACCTTCACCGTGGTTTGTCTGATATCCTTAGCCAAGATCAGGATTGGCTATGTTGGTACTTACATATCCTCATGAGAATTCTGGTTCTGGTGCTAGTTTGGTAAAGAAATTATTAAACCTGGTTGATGCTTGAAGGTAGTTGGATTAACAGGTGAGGTCACTTTGGAAAGAAAAAGCTGCCTTGAACCTCAGCGATATTCATCATCTGATGTTATGATCTGCTTTCCTAGGAAAGAAAAGAGACTTCTCTTCTAGTCAAGATGAAAGATACATGAGACATTCAGGAAGCGCTGGAGGCAAATGCAGAATAAAGTCTATGAACAGGAAGATAAGATGGAGAAACAAGAACAGTGAGCCTGCATAGATGCGACAAAAGCAGAGTTAGAGCTGAGTTATAGAGGAGGAATGATGGCATGCTTGACCGCTTTTGTTTTAATACCTTATGAACCAGTTAGAATTAGAATACATCTCACAAATTTTCTAGAAATAAAGGACTATAGCATACAACTAGTTCCACAACTACTGTTTTATAAGGTTCTAGTCCTTGAGAAGTAGAAAAATCCACCTGGACAGATCTCTACAGTATAAGACCTAGCTGAGATTCCAAAGTTCCTATTTAATATGTTAAGGCAATTTACAGAAATAGTTTCTTTCTAGAACTATTTTACAGAACTGGGGACAAAAAAAAATTGCCAGAATATTGGTTTTGGAAATGTCTGTGAGAATGTTATATAAAATTATAATTGCTGTTTTTACATTTAATATAAATCATTCATCAACTAAAGCATTACCATTGGTTTTCCAATGTTTTCTTTAAAATTGACTTATTGAGTACACATAATTTAATGCTATTGTTACTTTGGACCTAAAAGTCCTATGTTGATTGTTCAGTCCAAGTCCATTTTTAAATATTTGTTCTTAGAGGTCCTCTGAGAAATGATTGTCGTCAATATGATCAATGCAGCGTCTCCCAAAGTAACACTGAAATGTTAGACTTAAGCTTTTGTAACTGCCCTTGGTTTAATGTTAATCAATTACAGAAGCAGTGAGATACCAAGAAGGGGCTTAGAAAATTACTTATGCTTAAGGAAAAGTTAACTGAGCACTGAGAAAAATCTCTCATCTTCCAAAAGAAGACTAATAGGTAGGCAAGTGGAAGGTTCAGATGATGGGTTGTATCACACGAGTTTGTTCCTGAAATGTCTCAGTGCTTCCAAAGATGTGTGCAGCCATTAGAAATTTCTTATTCGGCCAGGCATAGTGGCTCATGCCTGTTAATTCCAGCAATTTGGGAGGCCAAGGCAAAAGAATCACTTGGGGCCAGGAGTATTGGAGACCAGCCTGGGCGACATAGAAACACCACATGTCTACATAATTTTTTTCAAAATTAGCAGGCATGGTGCCATGCGCCTGTAGTCTCAGCACATGGGAGGCTGAGGCGGGAGGATCACTTGAACCCAGGAGTTGGTGGTTGCAGTGAACTGTGATTGTACCACTGTACTCCAGTCTGGATGACAGAGCAAGACCCTGTCTCATAAAAAAAGAAGGAAAGAAAAGAAAAATTTCTTATTCACCTACCAAAATAAGAATACCCTATAGCTCCAGGACAGGTTTCTGTGATTGCAAAGATTTTGTTAAGGCTTCTTGAGAATCTTTTGTGGAATTAAATTTATTTTAAAGTGCTATTGTTTTACTAGAGGAAAAAAAATTGAGATCTTATAAAATGAACATACTGAAAAGAATAGCCAATCTGTTATGAAGTCCAGATGTAAGGAATATTGAAAGAGAAAAGCATTTATCTGCTGTTGTAGTCAATGTCAGGGAGAAGTCCTGTCTTACAATCCTGTCTCACAATCCTGTCTCATGTTGAACAAAGATGAAATATCTGTAATCTGACAATTTACCTCTAAAGTCTCCTTCCCACTACCTCTACAGTCATACTCAATAGTGTATCTTCATAGGTTAAAGCTTTTCTGACAAATATGAATTCTTGGAGTGTCAGCAGGATGTTAAGTGCACGTGCTTATTAACTAGTAATAATGACATTTTCAAAGCCTAGTAATCATGACATTTTCAAAGCCAATGCCATTTAATTATTTAAAAAATTTGCCTGAGATGTCTGTGCCCTCTGAGAGGCACATTAAGAGCAGCCTAGCTTTGAATACAAAACTCTCCAGGTATAAGATTTCTGATAAAGGAACTTTCACATTGCAGAACAAAATGATTGTGAATACCTCTTGGTAAACAAAGAGATATTGAGGGTGACCGCAGCAAGATGGCAGAGTAGGAAACTCCAGGCCCTCATTCTCCTATAAGGACCTGAAAGAAAAACATGTAGAGGCTGGCTAAAATAACTTTATAAGAGCTCTGGGAAATAGATCAAAACAGAGATAATTCATGGAGACAAAATAATTAGTTCCTGACTTATAGTGGATAGATATGTGGACCCCAGAAAGGGGATGGTTGAACTGGCCATTTGTCTCATTTTTCAGAGAAATAATGGGTTTGGATTCAAGGACTTTGTTCACAATTTAAGCACTGAACATGCATGCATACACACATACACCCTCAAAAATTGCTTTGAGGTCACTGGGAAGAGCCTCAATGTGACTCATAAAATGAAATGTCCTAAGTCTTTTCAGGATTCACGTCAATGAAGTGTTGTTTAACTTGTAAAATAATTGTACTGAAGCTTATGAACCTTGTTCAAATGATTGTGCACTAGTTAACAAATGCTTTTATAGTTATAAAAAAGAAAGGAAATCTTTGTTCATGGTAAGATTCACTTAGTACATACTAAAAATAGTACGTGAAAATGATCTTTTTTCTCTCTCTTTTCTGTCATTCCCTCCAATACACATACACACACACAAACATGTACAGTTTATTTGAAGGCAGACATTCACTAAACAATCTTAATATAGAAAAGTTAGTTAAGCAGCAACAGGAATTAAAGGAAAAGCATAAAGGAAACAATGATATATTAGCCCAGAATTATAATCATGATTTTATGGTAATGGAAATGGGAAATATGATAAATGATCAAAGTGGAGGTATAAATGGCTTATAAAGTCTCAACTTAGAGTAAAAAAGTACATTTAAAAGCCTGGAAGGAGATGGTAAAATGTCTTGTTGGTGGTATTGTAATGATTAGTATTATCTTTTTTCTACTTACACATTTTCAGAACCATCTACAATAGAAATTTGTTAATTTTCAAATATTTTAAAGCATATAATAAATTGATAATAGTTTTATTTAGATTGTTAGAACTAGAAATACAAGATGTTATTATGCTTGTGTTGGATGCATATTACCTTTGAAAAGCAGAATTCTGGGTAATAATGATAGCCCATGCTTCTTTTATTAACAGAGAGTTTTACTTTCTTATTTATTTGTTTTGTTTATTATATTTTTTGTACACAGAAGAGAAGACAAACTTGGAACTCCCCCAGCATATTCTTTAGTACATTTTTCCCCAAAGATGGTGGGTTCGGTTGCCACAACACTGCCATTGTCATCTTCATTATCCAGTGGAATGCCTCTTGGTTACCATCTGTCTAGTCCTCAGATTAGTGGAGTAACTATATCAACAACTGGACAATTGACTTCTAAAGCTACTGCAGGTAGCTGTTCCCGAATGGAAAACAGTTTGGGTAAGCAAAATATGAACCCCATATTTTTAGAGTACTTTTAAAGCACATATTTCAATAGATTGCATATATGACTCTCAGCCAGAATGATGTTTTATTATTAGTCCCCCAAAATGCTAACTTCTTAGCATCTTATGAAAAGTAACTTAACTATGGTCATCACTGATCCTAGAACTGGGGTGTTAAATTCAGGCCACATACATGCATGTGCCAAATATATCATCCTTATAATTAAGATATCTTGAGTTATCATGATGGTTCATGAGTTGACTGCTAACATACATTAGAATTACTAGAGATTAAAAATTCCAATGTATAGCATTAACTGCCCTTTCTCTGAACACTGCCAGAAGGATTAAGCCATATCTTGTGTACTTTGTGCCTTTAGGAGATGTATGGCACAAGTAAGGAATAGACAGATAGATGAGACAAAGATGTAACATAAAGTAGGTATAAAATAATGGAGAGAAAGTGGTAAAACAATAAGGAGAACTTGAAGGAGAGGAAAATGAAAACAGTACTATGATCAGAAAAAGTAAAGTTTTGACTGTTATCAACAATGTGCTCAGCAATACCCATGCTCTAGGGTGTTTGTTTCTCACCATGATTAGGGAACTTTGAGGGTATGTTTTTGTGGTTTACTGAAAACACTATCATCCTTTAAAACACAGGACCTACTGTTTTTCTACAATGTTAGGCATCAGGTAGAGTACTTAACATCTCAGCATCTCATTTTCCACCACTGCAAAACGGAGATTAAAATAGAAATGTCACAGGGCTATCCTAAGGATTAAATTTTATGAAAATTACCTAGCACATAATAAATACTCAATAAACATTAGTTGTTCATCTAAACATACCTGTAATCACCTTCTTTTAAAATAGACTACATTTGGAGTTTGTGTTTCAATTGCCAATCAACTAACAAGTTTCAAAACTGGTAGCACAAATAGTCCAGTGACTATCTGATGCCTCCATTATCCTCTACCATTCTGTACTTATTTACAGTCTGGCTGCCCCTCATCTATATTTCATTTTTTTTCTGATATTTTTAAAAAATCTTTGATGCGGGTTATATAGGGTTTTTTTCTCCTGCCATTATGGTCATATTCCCTATGTTTCATTTTTTGTATGACAAGTATAAAATTTCCCAAGAAACCTCCTAAGTTTACACTGACCTTTAGGATGACCAAAACCCACATACCTAAAATGTAAATACAAATTTTAGATCTGGGAAGAAAAGATTTTCTGTCATTCATCATTATATCATCATGGCATATGTTCTATATTTGGGTTAAACTTTGGCTCCTTGCAATGGGGCAAAAAAATGAAATACAGTGGCTTCCCCTTACAGTATGGGAGCTGAGTTGGGATGTATTCTTCTCCTTCAATTACTGTAGATTCCACTTCTCTAGAGAGATGTCTAGGTTCACTGAGATTTGTTGCACTTGGTTCATTGCCATCTTTTATTCTAGACAAAATAACAACTGGGACCAAAGTTAATGTGTCTTCTTTTCTCTTGAAATAGCAAGGCCTTTATTTCTCGAGATGACCTGTTAAGAAAGATGTTGTATATTATCTTTTCCCAAAGGAATTTAAGGATTAAGGAAATACTCAACTGAGAATGAATTAATGTAATTCCAAATGTTTCTTTTTTTCTCAACAAAATACTTTGAGGAATCTTCTTTAAGAACGATGATTTTATTCCTTTATATCTTTCACTTTGTTTTGGTTTTGCTAAAGATGTAACATTCAAACTCTAGATTGTCTTAATCCTTTGAGGATTTTGGACCGAGAGTCACATTAACCAAAACTCTGTACTGTAATAATAGCTATCATTTATTAGCAGATAAATATTAAATATTATGCTAGACACCTACATGAGCTCCAGCTCTCTTATCTCCTTACACAAGGGAGTGATATCTTTATTTTATGTTCAGGAAAATGGAAACATGGAAAATTTACATCACTTGGCTTAGTAAATGGCAGAACTGAAATATAATTACAAGTCTGTCTAAATGCAAGACTCATTGTTCTTTCCACTTCATCACGATGCATCTTTGTAGTGTAACTCTCTTTGCGGATGTATTATTAGATTTGTCCAGAATGGCTCTTTATGTTTAAAATTATGAAACCTATTTTGTATTTGAATCAAAGTAGTGAGGATTTAAAAGAGCAAACTTCTAATAGGACACTAGAATCTGATTAAGCATTACTTTATCTTTCTAATAAAGTATTTTAATTAAATAGAGGAAGTTTATGTCTTTACCTGACAAAAGTACTAACCCTTGTAGGAAAGGATTCATATAAGGTTTTAATTTATGGATGGCCATTTGGGAATTTTAGCATACATGAAGTAGAATAAGGCTATATTTATATGTAACATATCTAAATTTGACAGAATCAAATGTTTTTCCTATTTAAAAATTGATGATGCTTCTAGTACAACTAAATAATCAGTTAAATAGTCATTATACTAATGATATAATTTATTGTTTAAGATAACTGAAATAATCTCTAGGAATTGAAGATGTCACTATAAATATCCACTTACTGATTATTTTATGGATTTTTGTTTAAAGCTTCTAACTATTCTTATTAAGTGTGATAGTGATATTAAAATGTAAAAATATAATTTTGTAGAAGCAGAGAATAAAGATAATGGCTTTGGGTCCTTTTAATGTCATTTTATTTACTTCGCTCCTGGTTACTTATTTCTTTGGTTTATTTGAAAGATGCCGGCCCCTTCTTGGTTCAGAAACAGGATGAATCACCTTGGTTCAGAAAGAAACAGGATGAATCACCCATGATTGGGGATGGAGAAGATTATTTCCTTTCTCTGTTTGGTGATTCAAAGAAACTTACAGCACACTCAAAGCACACTCAGAAAACTTTAAAATACTTTTCTATGATTCTTGAAGAAGTTGGCCAATTTACCGCCAGGTACGTATTTTATTTGAACTACTTAATATCTTCTGTCAGGGTAGGACCAATAAGTCAGCAGAAAATAAAGTTCTAATCTGTAGTTATATGCATTATTTTATCTAAACAATACTCAATTCGTTGAAATGTAACTGTTTCATCTTCTGAGCAATTAAAATAAATTGATAAAATGGTCTAAAGAACCAAACAAAAAATGTGAATTCTTCAAAGATGCCAGAGTAAACAGTGCTAAGTAATCTTTACTAATAGGGTCAACTCAATTATTCAAGACACTTTTTTATTGTTGTCGAATTATTTAGATGGATCTAATATATATATTTTCTTCTAGTAGCTCTTGAGTTCAAGACAGAAGGAGAAAGATAAATTTTTACTTCATTGGTCCATTTTTATGACTGTTAGTATCTATGCAAAAAGAAATTGATCAGGAAGAAAGTTGATATTAGGACTAAAATAAGAGTTATGATCTATTCATTTATATTAATATAACACTGCCTTATTTATTACGTGAACAATATGAATTTGAAATGCTAATAATAAGCATATGTTGATAGAAGTCATTAGATGGCTAAAATAAATCAGAGTTGAGGGTCAGATATGAAGGAAATTTTCTCTCCCTTTATGCCATGTTTCCTAAAATCAATCACCCATGCCCTATTACAATTTAACCGTGGAGAATACCTAAGCATTTGCTCTACTATCTAAAAACACCTCATCAGATCCTTCATTCAGTACCTACTATGTTAAAATTATGAGCAGTTTAGGACAAAATAAAATGTTTAAAGCTTCTGCTAAAATGCAATCCTATTAAAAATGGTGGTGTAGAAGCAAGCTGTCTTCAGTCCCTATCCAGCCACCCCAGAAAACAAAAACAAATATACAGTGCCAAGATTATCATTATCATCAGCAGTACCTCAGAACTCAAATATGAGGATGAGAGAATTCCTGAGGCCACAGAGAAGTGAAAAACACTCATATAATAATTAAGCTCTCCAGAGGTCAAGGACAAAGAGAAGAACCTAAAAGCTGCAAGAGAAAAGAATATGTCTAGCAACAGACTTCTCAGTGGAAACCAGGTAGGTCAGGAGGGAATGAGACAGTGTTTTTAATGTGTTAAAACCCTGCTATCCAAGAATAGTGTATCCAACCAAGCCATATTTCAAATATGAAGAGATAAAATCTTTCCCAAACAAAAGCTAAGAGAATTCACCACCACCAGTCCTATCTTATAAGAAATGCTAAAGAGAGTTCTTCAATCTGAAAGATAAAAACACTAGTGTTCAAAAAGAAAACACTTGAAAGTATAAAATCTCTGGTAAAATTAAGTACATGGAAAAACCCAGAATTGTAATTGTGGTATACAATCCACTCATTAGTGTGAATCCCAAAAGACAAATCTATCAAAAACAGTAATAGCTATAGCAATCTGCTAAAAGATAGGCAGTATAAAAATATGTAAATGGAGAAAACTAACAGTCAAAATATAGAAGGATGGCGTTCTAATCTAGAGATTTTTTGTTTCTATTCTTTCTTTCTATTCTTTCCTTCGTGCTTTAAGTGTTCATCTCTTTAACTTGTCATAGCTGTAAGATGTTTTTTGTAAACCTCGTGTAACCACAATGCAAAAACCTATAATAGATTCACAAAAAATAAAAAGCAATGAATTAAAATATACTACCAAAGAAAATTACTTAACCACAAAAGAATATAGTAATAAAGGACAAAGGGAAGAGACGAGTTATAAAGCAACCCCAAAACAAGAAATAAGTTCTTCTTATCAATAATAATACTGAATGTAAATGGACTCGATTCTCAAATTAAAAGGCATAGAGTGGCTTAGGGATAAGGAAACAAAATCCAGCTGTATGCTGCCTACAAGAAGCCCACTTCACCTACAAAGGCACACAGACTGAAAGTGAAGGGATGGAAAAATATATTCCATTCAACTGGAAACAAAAAAAAGAGTAGGCGTAGCTATACTCATATCAGATAAAATAGACTACAAATCAATGACTGTAAAAAGAGACAAATAAGGTCACTATATAATGATAAAGGGGTCAATTCAGCAAGAAAGTATAATAATTATAAATATCCGTGCACCCAACACCAAAGCCCCCAAGTATATAAAGCAAACATGAATAGATTTAAACAGAGATATAGACTGCAGTACAGTAGTAGGGCACTTTAACATCCTATTTTCAGTAATGGACAAATGAACCAGACAAATCACAAAGAAACGTCAGAGTTAAATTGCACACTAGACCGATTAGGCCTGACATGTGCAGAACATTTCACCCAATTGCCTCAGAATATACATTCTTTCATCAGCACATGGAACATTTTCCTGAATAGACTCTCTCTTAAGCCACAAAACAAATATCAAAAAAGTAAAAATTATGTCATGTACTTTTGTGACCACATTCAAGTAATTATGTCAAGTACTTTTGTGACTAGAAATCAATAAGAAGAACCTAGGAAAATACACAAACACATGGAAATTAAGAAACACACTTCAGAGCAACCGATGGATCAGTGAGGAAATTGAGAAGAAAACTTAAAAATGTCTTGAAACAAATGGAAATGGAAACACAACGTATCAAAATCTCTGGGATACAAAAAAAAAGCAGTACTAAAAGGGAAGTTTATAGCAATAAATACCTTTATCAAAAAAGTAGAAAAGCTTCAAGTAAACAATCTAACAATGCATCTCAAGGAACTAGGAAAGCAAGAAAAAAACAAACTGAAAATTAGTAGAAGAAAACAAACAATAAAGATCAGAGAAAAATAAATGAAATTGAGACTAAAAAAAAATAGATCAACAAACAAAAAGTTGGTTTTTTCCATGATGTTGAATCGTATCAAATACTTTTTACATATCTAGTGAGATGATCATATAGTTTTCCTTTTTTAATGTTAAACACCCCTGTACTTTTACAATAAACATTTGGTCATGTTTATGTTTTAATATACTGTTTGAATTCCATTTGTTAAAATAATGTTTCAAATTTTTGCCTCAATGTTTGTAAAGATTATTGGTCTGTAGTTTTCTTTTCCTGTAATGTCCTTGTCTCTTTTGGTATCAGGGTAAGTCCACTCTTTATGAAATGAGATGGGATATAGTTTCTTCTTTATCCTTTTCTAGAAGAGATTGTGTAGAAGTAATTTTTTTTCATAAATGTCTTATAGAACTTATTGGCGAAGCCATCTGGGCCTGGAATTTCTTTGTGGTAAAGTTTTAAAACTATAAATTGTTTTAAAATAGATATTAGGTTATTTTAATTATTTCTTCTTGAATAAGCTTGGGTAGTTTGTGTCTTTCAAGAAATTTGTCCATTTTTATCTAAGTTGTCAATTTCTTTTGCATAATGTCATTTATAATATTCTCTTATTATCCTGTATAATTTTTATACAGGATAATCTTTATAACTGTAGAATCTTTATTGGTATCACCTTTCTCATTTCTCATATGGTCATCTGTGTCTTCTCTTTTCCCTGATCAGTATCACTGGAGATTTAGTTTTATTGAGCTCAAAGAATATGTGTTTGGTTATATTTGTTTCCCCTATTTTTTTGTTTTTTATTTAATTGATTTTCATTTTGGGCTACACTCCCTTTCTTCTACTTTGGGCTTTATTTGATTTTTTTTCCTCCCCTAATTTTTTAAGGTGAAATTTGAGGCCATTGATTTGACACCTTCTTCTCTTCTGATACTACAGGTATTTGGTATTATAAATTTTCCTCTAGGTACAGCTTAGTGGCATCCCACAAATTTTAATATGTTGTATTTTTATTTTCATTCAGTTCAAAATACTTTCTAATTTTCATTTTGTTTTTGATCCTTGGGTAATTGAAAAGTGTGTTATTTAGTTTCAAAGTGTTTTACAGATTTTTCAGTTCCAGTGGTTTTCCAGATATCTTCTTGTTATTGATTTCTAATTAAATTCCATTGTGGTCAAAGAACTTACTTTGTATGACTTGAATCCTTTTATGTTTACTGAGACTTATTTTATAGCCAGGATATTAATTATTCTGGTAAATGTTCTAGGTGCACTTGAAAAGAATATATGTTCTGCTGTTGTTTAGTAGAGTGTTTCACGTCAACCATGTCATGTTGGTTGATAGTGTTGTCTACTGTGTTTTTGCCGATTTTTTGACTACTTGTGTTAATTACTGAGAGAGAGGTATTAATATCTACTAAAGTTGTGGATTTGTTGATTTCTCCCTTGCAATTCAATCACTTTTGTTTCATGTATTCTAAAGCTTTGTTATTAGATGTAGAAACAGAAACATTTAGGAATGTTATATTCTTCTGATGAATTGATCCTTGTATCATTATGAAATGACTTTCTTTATCCTGTTCTGAAATATATTTTGTCTGATGTTAAGATAGCCACAGGAGCCTTCTTTTTACTGGTGTTAGCATGGTATATATTTTTCCATACTTTAACTTTGAACTATTTGTGTCTTTATATTTAGAGTGCATGTCTTGTAGGTAGCATATAGTTGAGATTTGCTCTTTTAGCCAATCTGAAAAATGTCTTTTCATTGGGGCATTTAAACTATTTACATTTAAGGTTATCATTACTATGATTAGGTTAAGTCTACCATCTTGTTATTTGTTTTCTCTTTGTCCCAGTTTTTCTCATTTCTTCAATATTTTCAAGATCTTGCTCTACTACTTTTGTCTAAATTGTTTCTAATAAATTTTCTGTCATTCTTATATTTGCTCCTCTGCACAAATATGTCTCTTTTTTCCCCCTCATTCTGCTTTTAAGATGTTCTCATTATCATTATTTTTGGGAGATTTGATTATGATGCGCCTGCTGTAAATTTCTTCAAATTTCCTATGCTTGGGGTTGTTACACTTTTTTGATTAGCATATTTATAGATTTTGAATTTTAAAATTCAAAATGGAAAATTTTTTACCATTATTTCTTCAATATATTTTGCCCCTGCTTCCTCACTCCTTTTAAGGGACTCCAATTTCACATATATTAGGCCAC